ATAGAGTCAACGTTTGAGACAAATCCGTACTAAGACTTCCGCACACCTACAACTCTACAATAAAACATTTGTTTTCCTAACTTTATAGTCAGATGTTAAGTCTTTGCTTATGCCGGAGTTCTCATGACGCATATACTCGTGAAAGGCCATAAAGTAAAAGCAAATTAAAATTCAGCCGAGGAAAGAGATAAAACTGTCCTGGCAAAGAATATTAGATAGGTTTTTGCAAACAACAATGATTAAGAATTACTGAAAAACACTGTAAAGCTGCAGATACGTTAAGTGAAAGTTTTTTAGTCTTCTACTAACTTATAACGAGAATATGAAAACTAAAGGGTGGCACTAAGCTTATTTTTGGAAAATCGCTAAATAGTCTCGAACTTTGGCTAGCGACACAAAGCAGACCACCTGACCTTAACTCCCCGACTTTTTGCAGTGTTGTAAATTCTTAAAGACTTTGACGGAAACTTTTTCTTAGTAAGAATAGTACAGGCTTTAGAATGGGATACATCCTAAACTCAAAAAAATGACGTTTTGCTTCTCCCGTAATGCTCTCTCAAGAACAGTTGTATAGAAATCAAGCGAACTGTCTCTCAAGACACTTAGTACGTAGGAGTGAAAATGAAATTTACTCATTAACAGAAAATAAATTTGTCTAACATGAATTTCCTCTTCAAGTTAAAAGATATATTGGATAGATGGAGATTCAAAGACCCGATAGATGCATTAAACAGTAAATAATTGTAATTGTGTAAAGGGGTTCTAAAAACTGCACGTAATTGACAGGATTGAGCCGCAGTTGCAGAATTGCGATAGTTTGGACCAATGTCCACTCAGATATACTGGATATCTCATGAATCCGTCATACTGTTGGATCTCTCGAAATTTTCGGAAGTTTCCGTCTTCCTTGAGGCGGTTTTCTCATGAAGCAGGTGCTACAAAAGTGAGTAAAGAGGTATGGATTCTGTGAAGTAAATCTATCCTCAACCTGATTGTATGACTTTCAGAGTAATGCTTTAAAACGGTTTATGATTGATAAAATCCGAGCCACTGGCCCAATCACCGTTGCTGAGTATATGAAAACTGCTGTTAGCGCACCTTCTGTTGGGTATTATGGTCTTTTCTCGGACTCGCAAAAGGTCAGTATGTTTTGCCCATCAACATACATTTTCGTGTAACGTCTGCGTTCATTTTATTCCTTCTTTTTGAGTCATCCCACTTTACACAATTTGCTGCTGTTTTTAGAGCTTTTAAAATTTATGTGGTCTTTATCTCGTGAAAGTGATGACCTAGCGCCTGTACTCATCAAAGTTGATACAATGCCCAATCACGTCACCTTGTTGAATTCGCTTCTTGATTCCTATAATCCTCAGAACAAATTTGTCATTGAGATGTACGTTAGCAATTAACGCGTTACTTTCGACCTTGTGCTTTAATTGTCTCTTTCTCATTTCTCTCATTGATTGATCACACAGTAAGTGTACGTTCAAATATGTGAAAAGCCTGGATTGTATCACAGTAAGATGATCAGATGATCATCCGCTAAATGCGACGATTTTGCCACCTTCTGTACGCAGTATATAGAAGCATTCTGTGCAGATATTTTAACAATTCTTTGGTTTGATGCGTAATCCAAGTTTCTCTCTCACAAGCTCTCAGCACTTTATAAAAACTGAGGTAGCGTTGCGATAAACAACATTTTATCCCAATTCTGCTCAAAAGTTAGTTTTTCAAATGGCACTTAAAGCTATTTAAGGTGTTTGGCAAGGAAGGTGATTTTATCACGGCACCAGAGCTTACCCAACTTTTTGGAGAACTTCTTGGTGTTTGGTGTTATTATGAGTTAGCCAATACAGGACATCGAGGTCTGTTTATTCACTTCTTTTAGAATGCATCCACAAGGCTCAAGATTACAAGTTTTAGGTCACTGGCAGCTTGTTGAATTTGGCCCTGGAACAGGACAACTTATGTGTGACCTTCTTTCTGTTATGGAGCGGTTTCAGGTTACTTACTCATTGTTCATACCTATTTATGGTCTCATAAAAAGTACGAGATTATCCTGGAAGTTTACGTTTCAAATTCAGTGATTTAAAAGTGTAAAGTAAGTTTCCATCTATCAGAATAGTTTTATTGACTTTCTCTTTATCTAAATGTTGTTATCATCCAAAATGTCAGAATTTAGGAGAAGAATCTGTCAGTTCACCTGGTTGAAACTTCCGACGCTTTAATACAGAAGCAGGAGGAGCTCCTTTGTGAAGGGCCATCAACATCTCTTGATTCATCCAGCAACGGTTCTTTCCTTTTTGTTACATCTCAGTCAAATTGCTGAGACTCCGTTAATTTAGGAAAAGAAAACTATGTGAGAAAAAATACTACGAAGTCCGGAGTGCCCATTTTTTGGTACAAGACTATCGAAGACGTCCCGGAGAATGTAGGTTCGAGTATCGTATTCTTCGTGTGCTTTATAAGAACTCCATTCCAGTTTTCTGTATTCATAGCCAACGAATTTCTCGATGCGTTACCTGTTCACCAGTTTGCCCGCGATGGCGACGGGAACTGGCATGAGGTATGCTCTCATATAAATTGTTGATTTAGTTCAATATCCTTTATTTAATTAGTTATCAGTATTGATAAGCTAAGACCACATTGCCGAGAAATCAGAATTGATATGATAGTCTATACACGTACAGCACACTTTCATCGAAAATACATGTTTATATTTACCCTTAGCCTTCTTATCTTTTCATGCTGTACAAGTCCACTACCAAACCCACTTGTTCCCTTTCTTTCTTCTGTGAGCATGCAGCTTGAGATTATATGGAATTCAGTTGTATGTTAATATCAACGAGGGAGACGAGCTGTGTTTCATGAATTCGAAAGGAGAGAATCTACACACTAGGTTGTAAATCAGATTTTGATACTCTTCTTGCGTGCAGTAATGGCCAACACTTGTAGAGGTTTACTGCCTAAAGAAATTCGGGAGGATAAAGAGCGAAAGTATTGGGAGTGTAGCCCTGAAGCTGGTACATTCGTCAACCAGGTCGCTGAAAGGTCAGTGCTTCACTTCATTCGATTTTTTCTAGAATTTCGATCCAAGACTAGTTTAGAATAGTATACAACGGAGGATTTGGACTTTTAATAGATTATGGTCACGATGGTTCACGGAACAAGCTTTCCTTTAGGGCATATAAGAAGCACCAGCTGGTATGGCTTGCTTAAGTTTACATAACATTTTTCCACATACTCTTACTAGGGAAGAATACTTGTCAAAGTGGCCACCCAAAAAGAGATGCGTGCTGGTAGATGCAATTTCAGACGCTGATTTCAAATCTGCCTTCCATATCTGCAAAGCGTTTTTCTGGAAGAAGTTACGGAATTTGTTTGTGCTGATTTAATAGTTGCTGTACAACATCAAATACAACCAAAAACAACAATCAACGGTTGTTTTATCATGAAGGCATCCTTTTATCAACAGTCAGCATCGCAGCTGGTTTGGGTCAAATTTGAACTTTTGGAATGTTCTTTAAGCATTATAGAGAACAACGTTCATTCTTCTTTTAGATAAGGGCTTCGCAGATTTGGAATGCAAGTTTATATTAGCTTCTAAGTTAGATTTGGCAGTGTTTATTTCATTTTAAATCGCCACTTCGACGAAGTATCCTTTCCATTTTAGATGACCATTGGTTGCAGGTGGATCCACTGAGTCAACCAGGTTTCATTGACTTAACTGCTGACGTCGATTTTGGATATCTCAAGTCTTTAGTAGTTGACCGCGTCGCTGTATTCGGCCCCAATACACAACGGTAATTTTTTTTTTGAATTTTCGTTTCTCCATAAGAGGTGGCCTCTATTTATAGTGAGTTTCTGGCGCAGTTAGGAGCGGAGCTGCGTTTGCGAAGACTTTTAAAATCATGTGACGATAGAGAGAAACAGGAAATGTTAATAAGTATGTCGTGTTTCTCTTTGTAGAATTATTGATTTTGAGTGGAATAATTATCAGATTTTTATTTGCACGTGAAAAGTTTGTTATCAAATTGTGTTACATTGGTAATTGCCGATCAACTGCTAGCAATAGCAAGTACTTCAACAAAACGACTTTCAATAGAACTTGATTTGTTATCTTTATACTTTTCTTGGTGCCTGAATACTATTCTTCAAATTCTTTCAAGTTTCACATACCAGGATGTCTTAAATCAGAATTTATGTTTACTTTTTACCTTTGTTCAAGGACTGTTTATCGCTACAAATCGTTTAGAGTCCTATAACTTTTTAATGGGCGAGATGGGAGAGAGATTTATGGCAATGTCCATGTTTCCAAAAACGCTAAATGGCATCTTAGAGAAAAGAGGAG